AAGAAGTAAAGATTGAGCTTATGTTTCCCTGAGTGGAAAAAAATAATGCATATATTAGCGAGTTATTGCCAGAAAAGTGCTACATTAAAAAAAATAATCACTCCAAACCCAGTGATTTCAAACAATTATTGTTTATTCAAATTTGTCAGTGGCATGGCCAGAGTTCAGCAGATCTGGTTGGGGCTTGCCTGGGCTTGGATTTGGAGGRAAAAAATATCTACTTAAATGGAACCCATGAAGGAAGAGAGAGGATAACTGATGTGCATCCGCCAGTAACATTGGCTTATATTAGGTCAAAGAATAAACCAGAAGAGTAATACCCCTTCCCAAGGGGTGAGGCTGAAAATCAGGTATGGAGACTCAAGTGTTACCCTTTTGATACACTGATGACTGTGCATTCCCTCAGCCCTTGGTAATCGTTATTCCTATATTTTAACTTATACTTTCTTTTGGCGGGGGTGTACCGGGGATGGATCTCAGGGGCACTCAGCCACTGAGCCACATCCCCAGCCCTATTTTGTATTTTATTTAGAAACAGGGTCTCACTGAGTTACTTAGGTCCTCACTAAATTTCTGAGGCTGGCTTTGAACTCGAGATCCTCCTGCTTCAGCCTTCAGAACCACTGGGATTACAGGTGTTAACTGATACTTTTAGATCATATTTTCTACTGCTTTATTTCTGCACCCCCCACTTCCATCCAAATTCTTCCTTACTTCACACACACACACCTGATTTCTTCTACATTCCTTTTCTCCAGTTTTTTATGCTAGTAATAAATCCTCATGTCTGGAAAACAACTTAGATTTGTAGTAAGACCCCTTTATGCCTTAGTGGAGTTTCTCTATAGCAAAGGAAACAATCAACAAAACAGAGGTAATCTGCCTGCAGAATCAGAGAAAATATTTGCAAATTATTCATCTGACAAAGAATTAATGTCCAGAATATATAAGGAACTCAGAAAACTTAACAAAAATCAAACAACCCATTTAAAATATGTGTAAGTTATCTGAATAGCCATTTCTATAATGAAGAAATTAAAAAGTCCAACAAATATATGAAAAAATTCTCACTATCACTAGCCATCAGGGAAATGCACATCAAAGCCATGAAATATCATCTCACTCCAAGAAGAATGACTATTGTTCAAAAGACAAAAAATAATGCTGGCTCAGGATGTGGAGAAAAGGGAACTTTTATACACCGTTTGTGGATATGTAAGTAATATAGCCATTATGGAGAACAGTCTAGAGGTTTCTCAAAAAGCTACAAATAGTTCTACCATTTGAATCACCTGTTTCACTTGTGGATAAATACTTAAAGGAAATAAAACCAACATCCCAAAAGATACCTGCAACCCCATATTTACTGCAGTGCTAATATAAACAGCAAAATGTGGGTTAAGCTTAGGTGCTCATCAACAGATAATGGATAAAGTAAATGTAGCATATATGCATGATTTTTATGACATTATTTAGCAATAATGGTCTAGTCATTAAAATAGAGTGTCATATAACCATAAAGAAGAATGATCCAGTGGGGTGGTGCTTGCCTGTAATCTCAGCAGTTTGTGAGGCTGAGGCAGGAGGATCACAAGTTTAAAGCCAGCCTCAGCAACTCAGTGAGGCCCTAGCACCTTATCAAGACTCTGTTTCAAAATAAAAAAAAAAATAAAGAAGGCCTGAGGATGTGGCTCAGTGGTTAGTGAGCTTGGGTCAATCCCCAGTACTAAATTAAAAAAGAAAGAAAGAAATTCTGTCATTTGTAACAAAATGGATGAAACTGAAGTCCGTACCATCATGTTGAGTTAAATAAGTCAGATACAGTAAAATAAATACCGCTTGTTCTCTCATATGTGGAAGCTAAAAAAAAAAAAGTTGCTCTGAAGATAGAGTAGTAGTTAATACAGCCTGGGAAGAGTGAGGGTAGGGGGAACAGAGGAAGGATAAAACTTGTATATCAAAACAGAAAGAATAAGTTTTAGTGTTTAACAGCACAATTTGCAACTTCGGTTCAGAATAYCTATTATATAGTTTATGAAGGACTACAGGAGTTCTCTTCCACTCTGTCTAATCTGATGTAAAATCTATCCATTGATTTTAATTTTAACTATTATTATTCTTTTTAAATATTCATGTATTCTAGCTGGGCATGGTGGCCTGTAATCCGGAGGATCACAAGTTCAAAGCCAGCTTCAACTACTCAGGAAAGCCCTGAGAAACTTAGCAAGAACATCCCAGGGTGGGAAAAAATTTTTAAAAAAATATGTGTGTGTCTGTGTCTGTGTGTGTGTGTGTGTGTGTGTGTGTGTATTCAAATTCTAATAGGTGATTTTCCTGTTAGTTTTACTTTTCACTGTCTCCTGTTTTAGCTAAATTTCACTATTTCTTTAATACTTGAGATATATATATTACAGGCTCTCATAGTTTCTATTGTCTTTAGTTATTGAGTATTCTAATAGTTCCATTTGTTTGATCCACTGGGGTGTGTGTGTCGAGCAGGGCAGGAGGGGAGTGAATGATGAAATTCACTTCTCAGAGGAATACTTTGTAAATTTTTGTTAACTTGTGCCCTGGATTCTTGACAGAGCCCTATATAATTGTTCATCTTCCAGGTGGGGCTCTGGGAGAGTAGAATTTAGTAGTGATGATAGTTAGTAGTCATAGTAATATTAACAATTATAGATCCCATTCTTTGAGCTTTTACAATTTTCCATGAACAGTTCTATGTACTGTACTTACATTAATGAATTTGATCCACACAAAGGCCTTGTATATATAAACACTCTATTTCTCAATTTTTATGGGTGAAGAAACGGAGAGGGAAAGAAACTGATTGCATAAGGACATTCAGCCAGAGCATGGAGGAGCTAGGATTAGGACCCCAGTTTGGCTCCAGCATGCACATGCTGACTGCTGTGATACCCTTCCTATTGCCAAGCCGAGCGATTCCTCTCCTGCTTCCTTTACCTGAGTAGGTTTTTTGCATTCCTTATTACCACAGAGACTGGGCAACAGATATGTCCTGGCTCTCCCTGGGGTAGTAGCTGAAATTTTCTGGTGTATTTTTAGCACCTAACAGTCTTGCCAAGATGCTGGATTCAAACAGGGACATGGATTCCAGCTTTCCAACCTGTCAAGCATCCAGTCACAGGGACATTAAGACACTGAGCCATGGGTCTTGGTYTAATATATTCTTGGCCTGCTCAGTGTCCACAATGCCACTCATGGTTCAAGAGAATTTAAATTTCCCTTTTCATTTTTAGCGTCTGGGTATATGCCTTCTTCTCTTTCTTTCTTAGTATTCATTATTTTCTTTTCTTCTTCATCTTCTTCTTCTTTTTTTTTTTTTTAAAGTTTGGCTATGTATCTGAACTTTTGTTTGGGGATTTATCCTAGTCACCATTTCACTATTTTCTGTCCTCCTAGTCAGAAGCTGGAGCTTCCCGCATCATCATAGGTCAACATTTGTGGGGAAATCTTCACATTTAAATGAAGACATTAGTCTTCCCCAAATGAAAATAAACCAGAATAAAAAATTCAAGAAAGAGAAAGACAAAGCATCTACAAAAATAGTAAGAAAATGAGAAAATATATTTAATCAAAGCAATAATTGATATTATAGATGTAATAATATTACTAATATGATTGTAAGGAAAGCAAGAGTAAAAATAATTCCTAAATTTTTTTAGAGTAGCTGTAACAATAAAAAACTAGAAAACTGAACTGTGTTCCAATTGACTTACACTGAATTATTTCTTTTTAAAGAGAGAGAGAGAGAGAAAAGAGAGAGAGAGAGAAAAGAGAGAGAGAATTTTTTTAATATATATATATTTTTTTTAGTTTTCAGCAGACACAACATCTTTATTGGTATGTGGTGTTGAGGATCGAACCCGGGCCAAATGCATGCCAGGCGAGCGCGCCACCACTTGAGCCACATCCCCAGCCCTACACTGAATTATTGTTTTATTTTTGATTTAATATTTATGTGTGTGACCTTCCTCACACCCCAGGAGACCTTTAAAACACCTCTATCACCTTTGCTTTTGCCAATTTTTAATGTAAAAGACATGTAATCTTTCACTGTTGACTATTTTTAAAATTAGAACTAATTTCAAAGGAGAGGAATATATGCACAATATGCAATTATAATTGTAGTTATTCTTTTTTTTTAAACATATCCTCCTTTACTCCAGAACATCTCTGTTTTATGATTATTAACATCTGTAAGTTGGGAGCCACGTCAAATATTTGAGATTTCCCAATACACGGACTTTGGTTTCCTGTTTTGCCATTTACTGTGGCAGGTCAAGAAAAGTTTGCAATTCTTTTCGGAGAGATAGACTTTGAAATGAGAATTGAATATTTTTCCGTTTTTATTTTTTTCTAGTATTTATGCTCAGAAATTCTCCTGAAACTTTTAAGATTTTTAGTCCTTGGCAATGTATTTACTGTTAGTTTGTTCACACATCTTACCATGCCTTTATCTACTGTTAAAAGAATGGAAAAAAGAAATTTGTTCCTAATTCTTCATTTTCCATCTTAACAGATTCTTGAAGGCAGAATAGTCATTTTTTTTGCATAGCTTTACTAGAAAAATAAACAAAAAAAAAAATAAAAAAATTCAGCTTCAGCATGTTTGCCCACTTAGTCTGAATTGGTCAAGTTTATAATTGACAGTCATGTTTAACCATCAATCATGGGGGGAAAAAAGATAAAGATTTCTCATACAACTTTAACTTTGGTCAGTTTTTTTTTTTTACTCTTTTCTTACTCTTTCCTTCATCTTGGTCTCATGATATCTGATGAACTAGTATAATTTTCCTTATTTACCATTTCTCCCCTATCCCTGGAGTTGAAAAACAAGATGAACAAACATAGGGTCTGTTTTATTCTCAACCAATCACCGAACAGTCATTTCCCTGCAGAATAATTGGTTTAGGGGTTAAAAGGAGAGAGAACAAAACAAGTTCATCATGTGCCACTTGGCTTGACTACACCCCTCTGTAGAAGGCAGTCTGAGTAAGAACTGCTGGGAGTAGCCACCTACTTAAGGAATAAATGAGGAAGCAGCAATACATTTTAAATTTTTCATTGTTACACTAGGTTCAAGGAGAACTGTGATTTGCCAGAGGAGTTTTTAAAATTTCCTGACAGTAAGTAAAGTTTTTTTTTTCCTATAGTATGTCAAATATGTGGGTGGACACTGTTAAAATCATAATTTTCAGATGTTTTCAAACACTTCTATGTTTTTATGTTGAAGACTTAATGATTAAATTTTTTCTGTTTTTTTCCCAAACAACTTTTATCCTGTAAGTATAACAGTAAAATATAGGAAAAGAGTAAATTTTTTTTCTGTTCTCACCAACAGAGGATTGCATAAATATTTTGATATGCAAATTTGAAAGAATAATTAAATTTGGAGATTATAAAAACTGGGAAAAAAAGACTTCTGTTTGTTTGATAACATCTGGGTGAAATTCCTTTCCCATGTAATTTGTTCTTTTCGTCTTCTTCATTTTAAAACTTGCTTCACAGATTGTTTCCTGAGTTATTCAGGGACTAAATTGAGAAATTTAAGAGAAATTGTTTTATTCTTCTTGTGTCTCAGAATCCAATTTAATGCACTTTGAGTCCAGATAGTGATCCCACAGCCTGATTCTTTTGTTAAAAGTTGTCCACTGCAATCTTAAGGTAAATACTATAAGAAAATATTTCACTGGGGTCATAAATAATGAATGTTACTTATTATTCACATGAACTGAAGTAATCTGAATTTTGACATTAATTTGATTAGCTTTGAGATTTTCATTAAAGTGCAAGGAGCAAGAAATGACTATTAATAGGAAGAGATATAATTTAATTATTCACATCATTCTGCTATGAAAGGTCAAAAAAGTGAAGTTATAGGTTCTAAGCTCAAATGATAGTTTTTCTAGAAAGTGTAGAATTCTGTTGCTGAAAAATGTGAAAACAAATCACTCTACCTCTCCACCATCTCTCACTCCCCCAGATAAAGTGAATATATGTGAGGTGAATCTTTAGTCATGAATTATTGCAATACAATTTTAAATCTTTTTTAAAATAAATTTTAGAAGTAGTAAATATTTTATTCAAAAATATAATCATGATTTTTCTTAGTATGCTTATTTTTTTCTGGTTTATTTCTCTTTGTTTATTTAATGAAGAGGCAAAATGAGAATAAAACAGACAAGTGTGTATCAGCAAACTCAAGCTCTTCTTTGTAAGAATTTTCTTAAGAAATGGAGGATGAAAAGAGAGAGTGTATTGGTATGTATGACAGTTTGTCTCCTTCCCAGTTTTATTCTGTTGCTTAATGATTTCTAATGTTATGCTTTAATTGGAAGACCAGATGTGTTGATTTTTAGGTTGTCTCTATTTGTATTTGTTTAATTGAGAAACTCATAATAGTTTTTGAACAATAACCTAGAATTGTAAAGAGTAAAATACTATTCAGATCTTTAAAAAGAGATTAAGTGCACACTTAATTAAGTGGTAAATTGTAGGAACTGTTAAAGCTACCACGTTATCCCATATAGAGTCAAATAATTGGCCTACAATAAATGTTAACTCCATGGTCTCATATTTAAGACTGTTAATTTTCTACCTAAAGATTTTTCTGAGAATTATGATCATGTCACACCACTGTGGGTTTGCCAGGCAGCAGGCTAACTGCAGGTGACTAGTCCAGATCACAGTGGCTTAATTGTGAAGGTTTATGTTTTACTCTTATTGCAATCTGAAGGTTGTAGTGGAGAAGTGAGTTGGATAGGTGGTACACTCTTCTCCACACAGTCATTCAGAAACCTTGACTTCTTCAACTAGAGACTTTGAGATCTCACTAGAGCTTACAAACCTTCACTGAGTTTTCTGCATCCAGTCAGAAGATGAGGAAAAGGAAGATTTGAGACAGAGTATGGAAGGTTGTGTGAGGGTCCCTGAACCAGGCTCGGAAGTAGCATGTTATCACTTCTATCCACATCCCACTGGCCAGAACTCAAACATTTGGTCTCACTTAATTTTGGGAGGTGGGGAACCTAGTCTAACGTGATATAAAGGAGGAAGTGGTTATTGATATTGTTGATTCACTGGTTATTGACATTGTTGATCCACTAGTGAGTCTTTAACATCCAGTTCCTTCTTATTTCCTTTAGTCTTTGGTACAAAGGTGTCAGAACTGACAAAACATTTGCCCCATGAACCCTATCTAGAATACTTATCTGGAGTCTTGAATTAGCTACCTAGGTGTGTAGAAATTAGCACCCTATTAGGTGTCCTGTTAGTTTCTAATGGCTTGTGACATAGTTCATGAATTATTGCAAAAGTTTAGTTCTAGCTATTAACTTGGTATTTATATTCATTGGGTTCTCCTTGCTCTGAAGAGTAGAGAATGGAGAGACCAACTACATGGCAAAACTGAAATCTGTCTTCAACAGTTCTTTGATGTGGACTGATTTTAAGGGAAAATGATCTAAGCTCATCTATTTCTTCTTACTTCTTTTTGTCAAATATTTTATAGGAATGGGGCCTCCCAATACTGCTAGGACTGTATGTGGGTCTGCTTTCAGAAGTCAGAGAAAATAACCAATTACCTGAAATACCTCCTCAAGACCTGGGAAGGGTAGACAAATTTAATGTCTCTTCTATAATGATTGTGTATACTCCAGTCTCTAATATAACTCAGCAGATAATGAATACAACAGCATTTGCTCCCTTAATGAAAGGTAGGTGTACTAATGGCAAGACAGCATTACTGATATTAGTTGTAGTTTTTGATAAGATGTACACATGTTAATTTGAGGTTACAGTGATACATTTTGTTAACAAATTAAACATCAAGATAGCATACAATTTTGTTAGTTTTTTTGTTTGTTTTGTCAGAACTATTAGCTTTGAGGGCAGTTGATTTAAGGAGGCCCAMATTCCTATTGGAATGTAATGAAACAACAGATTTATAATTTCATATTTGCAGAGTAGTGAATAGGGGAAACATAACTATTGGTGAATACATATGTTTTTAACATGGAAATATAATGATTAAGATGTATAGCTCACAAACAAACAAACAAACAAGCAACTAAGTAAAAGATTAGGTATTGGTTATAGAACAGTAATTTCATAACTATGAAAACATGAATAATCTGAAGGTTGTTCTTTCTGAATATGTTATAATTCACAAACATCTTTAGGGGTCTTCATTCTAAATTACATTATTATGTAATCAAGATGAACAAACTGTGTAATTTATTAATGTGTAAGTTGGGTATAGTCTGACTATTTACTCTTTAATTCATAATTTCTAACAAGTGAAGTTTCTGGTTGTTATAAATAGAGTTGCTTGTTATCTTAGTTCCTGCATAGGACAAAGGTCATACAATTTCTTTTCTTCAATAAATTTGGAATCTGGAATACTTAGCTGTATAATGACTACAATTTGGAATCTGGAATACTTAGTTGTATAATGACTACAATTTGGAATCTGGAATACTTAGCTGTATAATGACTACAATTTTTCATAGTTTCATTGTCTAATGCTGACTAATCCCACCATAACGTTTTTTTGTATATATAATTATTTTCTTTTTAAAATGATTTATCATTTTAAAAAGAAAACACTTAAATTCTTATGCATGTCTCCTGATTCTAGAATCTAAAGAATTAAAATAAAAATGTCCACTTGACTTTTATTTCAAGTTTGCTTTAAATGGAAAATGATATTAGCGTTAAGTCTAATAAAAATATGTGATGATAGTTGAATAYAGATTTTATGTTGGGGAAACTCAATTACAATTTTCTATGTCTATTTTTGCCTTATAATTCACAGGAACAAGAATCATTGGGGTACCAAATGAAAAAGACATGGATGACATAATTTTCCAGAATTTCCCACATGCAGTGGGAATCACCTTTAGTGACACTTTCTCTTACAAGTTAAAATTTTTTCAAGGATATGCTGTTCCATTTTTGAGAGATGATTTAACAGGTGACTTTTCATGTAAAATTTAATTATGTCTGTCTTCATGTTTTCAACATAGGAACAGGTGGGGATGGGCAATATAGATTTTTTTTCTATGACACAGGAGAAAATAAAATAACATTTATTGTTGAACTTATTCCAAGATAAACTAGATAAACTAGCCTCCCACTAGAAGCTGATTCTCAAAAAACAAAAAACCTGTAGAATAATTCAACATATATCTATTGAGCATGCATGTATTTGATTGGAAGGATGCAGGTGTGATCAAGACTGACAGGTCTGCTGATGAGGTGAAATTCCAATTTATCAGGAAAGTCAGATGTTGAAGAATTAAGGACAAGTACAAGGAAAGGTTCTTGTGGGGACTCAGACTGGTTTTCCTGGTGAACTGTGGAATTAGGGAAAGGATGTTTAAACCAAGACCAGAAGGCATTACTTTCAGGGAACAGAAAGAGGAAAGGCAAATGGGAAATACCTGAAGGGAGAAAGGGGATCTCTTATTAGATCTTGAAGATACTGAAGAGGAGTATGATGGGCAGAGGAAGCTGGATCTTCTGACATCTCATAGACCTCAAGCATTGGATAGCCCTTGAGGTACTTCAGTCAAGGCAAGGAAGGTTGTGATTAGGTTTCCAAGACTAAGACAGCATTCCTGAAGCAGCCAGAGAATAGATTGTAAAGGACTCAGGGAGAATGTAATGAATCCTGCCAGTGAGCTGACAGGTGGCTGAGCTGATGCTGGAGGCAGCTGAAAGGGAGAGAGGGCAAAAAATTAGAAGACCCTCTAGGAAGCAGAAGCAATGGGACTAGTAGAATCAGTTCTTTCCTACTCATGCTAATTGGGACAGGGGATGGGAGAAAAATCATACCCACCACAAAGTATGACAAAGCCAGGTTATAAGATAAAGAACTCAAGARCTATTTTATATATCTTATATATAGCTATCAGGAAAGACCTGTTTGATGAAGTTACTTGAGAGAGGAGATCAGGATGAAGAAGTGAGCCATACGTCCATCTAAAAGGAGAACATTTGAGTGCAAAGAAAGTTGTAGGGCTGGGGTGTTTTTAATATTTTGAGAAATAGCATGGAACACAGTGTTTCCTTTTATTTAYTTTTTGTTTTCTAATRTCTTCTATGARTCTGTGGTCTTCRTGAATAAAATTACCTTTTTTAAACTTTCATGTGCTTCTTTCTTCTGTGTAGTTAAATATTCTGACTGGCAAAGTCTCCCCTGTATTGTCTTCTCTTAGATTCTTGCTTCTTAGTGTCCAACTGTCTTTGTCCCATACTGATGGTTATT